AGTAAACTTATCCCTACTTATAGGCGAAATTATCTTATATGTAGAAAACTCTAATGAGTTAACACACACACAAAAATTAGAACTAATAAATGAATTCAGCAAAGTAGCCTGATACAAAATCAACCACAACTTTAAGTCGTATTTCTATACATTAACAATGAACAATCTAAATCAGTAATTAAGGAAACAATTACATCATTAACAGCACCAGAAGGTAACCAATGAGGTGAAATACACTCCTAACCAGTGGATGAGTTTTTATTTTTGTAATAAAAACTACAAAACACAATTGAAAGAAATTAAAGAAGACAAATCAAAGGATAATCATGCTTATGGACTGGAAGATTTAACATTGTAAAGATGTCAATACTACACAAAGAAGTCTATACATTCAAAATAATCTTCATCAACATTTTAACTACTTATTTTTCAGAAATAGAAAAGTCCACCTTAAAATTCACATGATATTTTAAGGAACCTTAAATAGCCAAAAAAAATATTGATGGAGGACTCATACCTCCTGAATTTAAAACTTTTGGGGTAAGAAAGGAATGGGGAATTATTATTTAATGGGTACAGAGTTTCAGTTTTACAAGATGAAAAGAATTATGGAGGTCAAAGGTGTGACAGCCACACAATAATATGAATGTACTTAATACCACTGAACTGTACCCTAAAAATGGTTATGATAGTAAATTTTATATTTGAATATTTAAACACAATTAAAAAAAAAGAAAAAAAAATGTCTACTAGCAACTCATTTTTCTCTTGCCTTGACATCTTACCTACTTTTTCCAAAGGAATCATCTCCACCTACCACTTCCAGTCAGTCATTCTCATTTTGCCCTCTGCGATCTGGCTTCTGCCTGGACCAACCTGTTGGAAGTTGGTTCACTTTGTGTTGAGTTCACTGAGAACCTCTAACATGCTAAATCCCTAAGATGCTTTTCAGTCTCTTTTTTTCTGAGTTTCTCTGCTGCACTTAACACAATGGCTTATTTGCTCCTGTCTGAAATGCTCCATTCCCTTGCGTCTGGGGACTCCACGTTCTTCTATCCCTTCTTGTTGCTCTTCGACCACTCGTGTTTAGCCACTTTTGAAAACCCTACTGGCATTGCCCCTCAGCTTGGTGTAACCCAGAGTTACAACCTTGTTCAACTTTTTTTCTTCCTAGAAAAGTTATTCC